AAATATACGAGTCCTTCAGACAAAAGCCGAGAATGCAAACAGGTCAATTTGTAAACGGTGAACTCGAAATATGCGGGTTCCACTGTATATGATATATAAGATATGAAGATACATTTGGAGAATGTTTGCACATGCCAGAGCATGTCCTGTGCTGTTATTGGTCAGTCTGTCTTTCGGGTGGTGGCTTAGGTGGTCATTTTTCCTACCCAAAGGTTTTGCATGTGATCCTCAGCCCTTGTGACCTTGTCAAAGTGTCCTACAGCTCAACAGTGAACCCCCAGTTTCGGCTGATGCTGCATCATCAGTAGGTGAACGAGGAGACGGTGTTAGAAGTGCTCCGAGCAACTCGAAGTGAGAAGAGCACTAGACAAGTGAAAGCCTATTTACCATTTAAAATGTCCATTTCAACCTTTGTCTGGGTGACCATTTTCAATTTTGATTGACTCCCCCCCTCTCCAGGCAGCCGAGCCGGTCTCCCGTGGTTTTCAATATTCCACGGCAGGTTATCCAGGGGTTATTTTCACCACCATTGACTTTTATTCCCACTTCCCTCCCCCTCTCAACCTGTGTCTTGTATTTGTAGCCACTTCTGGGAGCCTTTTTTTTTACATTTGTATTATCCAAGTGCATATACATGGTTTGAACTAGCGATTAAAAAAAAAAGGAGGGTGAAAATAGTGCTAGAAGTAGCCCCCTCAAAATGATTTTCCAATGGGAGATAAACGAGAGTTCCCTTCTCAAATGTATAATTCCAATATTAGTTTGGGAGGGGGTGGCGGGGGGGGGGGCAAAGGAAGTAACAATGTGAGCTTCATTTGCACTTTCTATAAGACGCCCGATTATTGGCTGTCTCCAACCGACCGTCTCTGAAAACAATTGTTGTTTACTATTCATGATCTGTTTAGTCTGGATGACCTTTGGCACCATGCTGCCTGTAACAGGTCAATTTTGGTACTACATCAAGTATTTTGTTTAGCGGAGGACACTCCCGATTGTTGGTGGAAATATTATGTGCGTGGTGTACCATGGTGGTCATCTGGAGTACAAAATGCACTATGAAGCACAGTTCAGCGGGGTAGGTTCATACCAATAATTGAGTCTCATCAGATTATTTTGAGCAATTATCCTGTGGTGTCTGCGTTCAGAGGGGCTTTTCTTACACTAACCGCTCTGAAAATGATTGGAAATGTTAAACCGCTTGCCTTTTACCGTCTGAATTGTCTCAATGCCCTTTGGCAGGGTACACTCGTAAACAAACGGGCTAAATTTCAAGCATGGCCCGATTATCAGATGTCTCGCGTGTGTTCCGATAGAGTTTCCTCCAGGATCTGCTTCAAAAACTTAAAATCATCAGTTTTGCACAAACAAAAGTCGCTGCTTCATAGAAAGTTGTACACAAACAAATAAGTATTGTGTAATCGATTATGAAATTGATTCATCCTGGTTAAGACGTTCAAAATCTGTATGTGAATAGCCAGGTCATGACTCATTGAAATTGGCAACCAACGAGTGTGGTGAATCAATTTATTAAAATATGCATGAAATTAGAAACAAGTGTCGCTTGAAGCACATTGGGTGACAAAGATCCAACATCTCGCTGTTTTCCATTCACCATCGCAAATAAACAACCACCGGGGGACCACAACCGCAACACATCTTGTGTGTTTAAGCAAGATTTTGTGCCAGGCTGTGAGCGAATGTGACAAACGTTGTCATCCGACGCGGTTTGCAGACGCAGTGGAATGAAAAAGGACAGCTTTGTTTCTCTCTTCCCATTGAGCATCACATCAAGTAGGTGATACAGTTTAGTGAAAAGTCCTCTAGAAATGCTTGACTGGGATTATGACGTGTACGGAAAAAGTGAATTATTCCAAATGCGGGTACTGCAATATTAGCGCTTTTAAAAATCGGCTTTTTATAGCCAATAGGTTTTTAATCCACATTAACACATTACAACATAGACAAAATAATGACATTCAAACATCCGCACCCAGCAGGAAAAAAATTTAAATAAAAAGATTTTGGAAGATTTTTTGCAAATGCTCTGACTGTAACTCATCGCTTTATGCTAATTCATCGGTTATCGGAATTTTATTTTGCCTAAAGAGCCGGAAAAAAAAAAAAACATCTCCATCAGGCCCCACATTACATCATGGAAAAAGATGAGTGAGAGTGGCAAAGAAGGCAACAAGTTTTTTGGAAAAATAAAAATTCATGTGTTGCATCCTATTTGATGACAGTTATTTCTGTATGTTTTTATGCAGTACACTCAGTGGGGATTTCTGGCATGTGCGGTATGTGCGGCCACACAAGTCAGCATTTTACATGAATCGGGTGTTCTATCGGCATGATGCCCCCCCAACTTCCCCCCCCCTCAAAAAAACAAAAAGCCATAAGATGGCATCTAAGGACAAGTTTTGTCTCAATAAAGTTCTTGATTGATGATGATTCCTTTGCACCAAGATGCCTCCAGAAGGTGCCGAACTGATATTGCTGAAAAAAATGCGTATAGGCAAAAGTGTGACTGTTGAAAAGTGAAAATACAGAGGCTCACTTCACAGGGACTAAACAAGACTCAACATACATTCGATCCAAACTACAAAACTGCAATTTCCCAATATAGGGAACAAATTAGTGGATAGGAAGTGATTCCAAACAGCCTTGGAACAACCACTATTTTTTGTTCATGCATCATTTGAGAATATTCCTCAAATCCCCCTTTCAATCAGAGCCTGCTCTAATTATTTATTTTCAGAGTCTAAATGCCTTCGGTGAATTGCTGTGTAAAAGCCAACAAGTCCCTGAAGGTCATACAACTAAAGGAAATAAAAAAAGAGAGGCCCCAGGCTGGTGGCGTGATAAGTATTTTGTTCGTGGCCACTTTATCAGGTATGTATGCATAATGTTATGGAATGAGAGTTTATTAAGTACTTGAAGCCTTAAACTGCTATTAAAAATCAAATGCCCTTTTTGGTGGCCTCAACAGCAGCAAAATGCACTTTTTTTTGTCAATGTACATACCTTGATGAAAATATGTCTTTTAGGGGTCCTTAATGCAAACCCCGAAATTTTAATTAGTCGCACCCCCTCCCTTGAAAGTTAAATCAGCCCGACCCCAGTTACACCGATAGACATGAAATTTATTAGAGGCATCTATCCCAACAGGGTGCACAAAAAAGCCTCAAGGACCCATGCTTAAAGGTAAACAGAAAGTCAGCTATTTTGGTTTTAAGCAACCATTTGAGCGAATTTCAGAATTCAATATCAGACAATACCTACAACGGAATTTATTCTATTGAGCCCCAATATGAAGCGGACAGATGAGCAATGGGAAATTGTGAAGCTTTTCTTGCCACATCCCAGATCCACAAAAACCTCAGTGGTGATATTTTTGATGGCTGTTTGCAAAAAAAAAAAAAAAAAAACTGCACATCATCGTGTTTTTTCTTTTTTTTTTTTGTAACCCAACTCTCATATTAGATTCCATTGACTGTTCCTAATAAAGTGTCCAGTGTTTGCTCATGCATCACAGCATGCAAACCATATCAGTGCCCCACTTGAATCCTTTGCACTGATTGTGTTTGTTGTCTCTGGCTTGGCTGTGTTGTGGATCGCCTGCGGCGGCTTTTTGAGGGGACTTCACCATTAGCATGCATAATCACTTCCATATAGCAGCATAGGTGTGTGCGTGTGCATGTGTGCGTGTGTCACATCATCACACTGCACTCAACAGGTTGGGAAGGCTTCCAACTTTAGCTCGTAAAACCAATTGTATTAAAATAAAATCATGCAGAACAAGGATTTCAATACTTTTACCAACACAAACTATCAACCACGAGCCCGATTGATCAACTACAATAATAACTCAATGAAGTAGGTTATTCTGATGATTGTGTTCATTTTTGGTTGACTACTTCTGTTTGGGGAAGCCTGAAAAGAAAATTATGAGCATTATTTTCTTTTGAAAATTATTAGAATCATTACCGGCATTTTCTTTTAAAAGTCAGGTGTATTTCATCAATACTGGTGATAACAAATTGACTTGGAGAACTTTTTCCATTTAGTTTTTCCATGTTAGGGTCCTTTTAGTCGATACAGTTGGAAAAAGTTGCATTTGATTCAACTTCTAAGGGGCAAATCTTTATTGATGGAAGGATCAAAAGTCTTAAAGTGTAATCTTAAAAAAGTCAAGTCTGTTTCATTCACTTTAAAATGTCAACACACTTGCCAAATAACACCTTGTCTCCTGTTATGTTCTTTCATGTAGATGAAGTTGGACAAAGTTTTATTTCACTTTCATGGTGCACATCTTAATTTTTAAGCAAAACAAACAAACAAACAAAAAGTGTATTCATAAATGCCAAGTCAGCATTATTTCATTTAATCTAAATCATAATAAAAGAGACTGAGAACTTTTTCACATCAGCGTTTTGCCAAGAAAATGCCTCATCTTCCAACTGTTAGATTTAGGTAAGTTGGAAAAAGTTGCATTTAAATTTAACTTGGCAAATATTTATTTTGGGCAAAAAAGAAAAAAAACCTCACATTTCCTTTTGAAAATCAAAATCAGGACTGTCTCCTTTAACTCTAAATCGTGATTTAAAAAAAAGATGCTGAAACATTTTTTATGTATGTGTGTTGGGGGGGGGGATAAACTTCAAATTGTTATAAAAGTTATTTGTAGAGAACTATGGCACTTTTTAACCAATTTGTTGACAAGCCTTATTATTTTTCAGTTTTAGAAATTCCAACACAGAACATAAAGCATTCTTTGTCAACTTTCTACTGCCAACAAAAAAAGCGTTCGGGTGATTCTAAGTAACTTTGTGGGGGGTAATGCATGTTACTCAATTTGTAAGTATCAAATCTTTATTTTTAATCTCATGCTGACTCAAAACTTGACAACAAACGATCCTTCAGTTGCACAACATGGTCAAGTAAGTAACTCAAAAAAGTGATTTGCGCAAATGCAAGGACGCAATCATTTGGTGCACACTTACAAGCGCTCAGCTCCGCGCGGGATCCCCTTCGGTACCGTCTTGAGCCCCAGACCCTGACAGTCCACATGGGATCCGGAGCAGCTGCACTTGTGCGGGCATGCGTGCACGCTGGACACACACAGAACCAAGACCGGGGCCAAGGAAAGAATCCAAAGCCAGCTCGGTTCAGTCCCCCGAGGCATGATATCCACTCCGATTGAATCCGAACAAGAAATCCTTGCGGCTGTGATTGAAAGTTGGATCTCCAAGCGTTTGAAAAAGAGAAAAAAGTTCCACCTCAAGATCGTAATGTGTGGAACCAACACTTAGTTTTTTGACTAAGTTAAATCACATTAAAAAGGAGCAAAAATCAACAAAAACGGGCAGTAAAGAAGTTCACATTCATCCCTCAAGTTGATGCGTAAAGTCTCCAAAAGTGGTTCCCCCCATTCAATCCGGTAAATCAGTACATCCAAAACTTCTCATTCGGAGAGGTGAAATGTTTAGTTTGGGGAGAGGGAATAATAGCTAGTAGCATCCCATCCAGGGCCTTGCGATAAAAGATGTGATGTCATCAAAATAAGAAGAAAAGAATGAGAAGGAAAGAAGTCACCCGGAGTGAAGTTGAGAGGGAAGCGGCGCAGCGCAGACTGCTGCGCGCTGAAGGTTTGGAGCAAGGAGACACCCCCCCCACCAACCTCCTTTCATTCCTCCCCCCAAAAACATCTCCTCCCTCCTTCTCTCTCTCTTTCTCACTTTCTCTCTCCCACAACACTCAAACTTTTCGTATCCCCCAAACCTATTGAGGCATTTTGTGCCGTTCAGTTTTAGTTTTTCAGGCTATTGTGGCCACAGGTCAAAATTAAATTCGCATAAAATTGGAAAGTAATGGACATGTCGATTTGCATCCCACGCCCTTCAAAGCATTCAGGAAAATGTCAAGGGTGCCCTGCTACTGAAATCAGAAGATGCCGGATGAAGCTGTATTTGAACCGAAGCTAATGCAATGCATTGTTTCACATTCCAACCTAGATTACTTTTCAATTTCTGATACTGTGAAACCTTAGTTTTATTGATCTGTTCCAAAAAGTCTGTTGAAAACTAAATTTTATGAAAACCAAAGCAATATTTCCCATTGAAAAGAATGTAAATCCTTCTAATCTGTTCCAGACACCCAAAAGTATGAACAAAAAGAAATACATTTGGCGCAGAATGACTGCAGTTTAACATACAGAAAATAATGTCAACTGTTGCACATGTGCAGTAAATGCTTTGTGTGGGTTCTTAATTCCAAGAAATGAGTGGCTGAGTCCCGCAGAGAGGTGGATGAGTTTGGTCCGCACCATTTTTGAAACAATCAAAACAAAATGCTGATGAGAAATCATGGAAAATAGAATCGTTTGAAAACCAAGGTTCTATTGTATTTGGAAGTGTTCACCATGGCGTGCTTATTTTTACCTATTCTAATCATGCAGCAACATTTTACATTTTTGTTGTTCCTGAAATGATAGATGATTTCATGTTGAATATTGTGCCTTAATATAATTTAATAATAAACTGAAGAAAGACCTTCAAATTCTAAGCATGGAGTCAAAGGTCGTATTTCTGCAAAAGTGCTGAGCAACTTACTTTAAGTGCTCTCATATTGGATAATATGTCTTAACCTAAGTACTGCAAACGTCGGAATAGAATATTTTTTCATTAGTCCCGAATCAAATTAAAAAATAAATATTTACAAATTAAGTTGCATGTGTCCCCTACCCCCGATCCCACTTCCGCTATTTTAAAAATGCAGCAAGATTTGAAAGGTTGTTGTATTCTTTTTAACACATTTTAAATTATTATTCAGCCTAGGTTCAGGTTGGTACTCTCTGACCTATATGTAAAAACAAAATGTCTCAGTATATTGGCTTTAGGCAAGTGGACCCTTTTATAGGACCATGTAATATGCTAATCAGTGTACATTGAAATACTTGCAGTTTACCGACAAAAAATATATGCATTCACCCATTCATAAAAAAATGAATAAAAAAATTTATAAAACTACAATGTGGCCCGTGACTCCGGAAAATATACCCACTGCATCGCTATTGATGAATGCAGACTGACTTTAATATAGTTAAAAGGAATGTTTAATTAAATGCTAGATGCCAAAAACAGAAAAAAAACACCACCACCAACAACAACAACAAAACAGTGTCTTCTTAAGTGCTTCAATGACAAGGTTAAGGCTACTGGAGCTTTAAAAAGGTGTCTCCTTGACGCATTTAATTTCTTAAACTGTCAGCTTTCAGTATGAAACAAGGTTCTAGTGTTAAAACGTTTTCTATTCACTGCTCCCCAAAACGAGTTGAGTAGCCACACACACTATCAAAAGACTTGACGGTGAAGTCTCCCGCTTCAGCTTGTTAAAATTCTGCTGCCCCCTATTGGTCAATCCTTCCCATGCACCCTCCAAGCTGTTGAGCCTCTCATTCAAAATCACGGTGATCATTTAAATTGAGTTTGAGGGTGGTGGGAGGAATGTAAAACCTGAGTTGTCTAATGGAAAGCTCATAAATACTGCAAAGCCCGCGAGCAACAAAGTAAGGCATCGAGTGCATCACGGCGGGAGCGAGGCTAATTAAAACATTTGTTTCACTGTTGTGTGGACTACTGATGAAACCTGTGGCAGCCCCATTACGCTACGGGTTAAATTGCTTCAATAAAAGATTACACTACATAATGGATTTAGTACAACTTTCAATAAAGGAGTGACTTTTCAAAGTCATTAGTCGTGCAGAACATGGAATTTCAAGGCCATGATATTAGATGTCAAAGTAATTCATTATTACTGGAGGATTGGTCGAAAGCACAACGTGATGCAATTGATTTAAAAAATATATATCTTTTTTTATCCTTCATAAAATGGGCAAATGCGTGCTTACTGTTTTTATCGTGTGTGGTACAAGCAACCTACTTGATTATGCCCAACATAGCACACAACTCATAACTTGGGCTTGATCGACACCTATTTTTTTTTTTTTTAAAGGCCAATCATGAAGTCAAGCAAATGTAGCAATACGGCATCAGTGACACAAATTCCAACTCAAACCAAGCATATATTTGCAAAGATGTGCATGTGTCCAAAAAGTAAAACGACTCACCCTTTGAAGACATGGAACAAGGAAGAGGAACTTGTTTGCAGACGGAGCAATACAACCACTTTGCGGTCACTGGTATCCCTGTATGGTGACATCACAAAAGAAAAATGAAAGATAAAGCTGTTGATGTCATCCATTGTGATTGATTTGACTCCAGATTTTTGCCCAAAGATGTGGGTGAATTTCAAATTTGATGCCTTTCAGAGTGTTCCAGTATACTCTTGGACCGTGTCAGTCAAAACCAAGCATTATTATTATTATTGTTATTATTGGTATCAAAGGCCGCTTTCTTAAGCGAGATCATACACATAGCCTTTTACCCACAAAACCTGCCACTATTTTCTTAACTGCATGTCGTCCCTCCACCATTTTATTAAAATTTCCCCCTTGCGGCACAGCCACTTTTATTATTTCAGGCACATGTGAAAATGTAGTCGGAGCTCAACAGCAGCGGGACGGCAGAAGCGGTTCACTTGTATTCCCTCAACATCCAATCCGAGTTCTGGCACGATGGGAAATTAAAGCCGGTCGGAGGCGACAGGCTCTGCCGCTGGGGTTGGGCCCCCCTGCGCCCGAGGCGCAGCCTGTCAAAGAGCGCGAACCTCACAACTTAGCACCTGTAGTGAGGCCTGCTAATGTGCAGAATGACATGTTGATATCTGACGGTTCGTAAAACAGATGCTTTTTCACCCCACGGAGTGAGGGGAAAAAAAAAAAACATTACGCCTTGGTACTTTCAGTTACAGATCTGTAAAGTGAATTCAGAGATTTGTTTCCAAATACATTATACATATTTGAAGATAATTGTTAAAAACGTGCAAAGACCGAGAGCACTTTTGGAGCATTAAATGTTTTTCAACATTTCAGCTTTCCTGATTTTTGGAGCCCAGTGACTCACTTGGGTGCATGAGCCCCTCTAAACCCCCGAAAAAGTGCCTTCGTTCACATCAGTGAAAATGCATCTTCCCATCATAGAGTCGACCGGCATGACCGCTTTAGAGTGCCAAGTCGGCCGTAAGTCCATGCCGATGTCATGCAGTGAACATGTTTTTTCTAAAAAGTCTGACTTGATGGCCAGCATGTGGATCAGGGCTTTGGGCTTGCATGACTGCTTCAGAGTGCCTCATTGTAGACTGTGAGCACGCGCACATCACACAGATAAAACGGAAGAGCAAGTGGGGGTAATAAAGAAGTCAGAGTTGACAAGCAGCATGTGTACAGGGGCTTGGGGCTGGCGTGACTGCTTTTGAGCGCTTCATTCTTTGCCGTTGGTCCACACACATGACAGAGAGAGGATGGAAGGGGTCAAGAGGGCAAGTCAGACTTGACAACCAGTGTGCGGACAGGGGCTTGGGGCTAGCAAGGCCACTTGATAGCGCCTCATTGTCAGCCGTAGGTGTGCGCATGTCACGTAGAGAAAAGCAGATGTGTGCTGAGGAGGGATTTTTCTTTTTAAAAAGTCCAACTATACAGCCAGTGTATGGACCAGCGGGGCTTCGCGCTGGCTTGGCCACTTCAGAGCACCACATTGTCAGCTATGTGTGTGCACGTCACAAACATAGATGGAAATGTGACGACATCATTTATTTTTTCTTTTTTTAAAAGTCTGACTTGACGTCCGGTGTGTGAACAGGCACTTTGGGCTGATGTGGTGACTTTAGACTGCCTTGTTGTTGGCTGTGAGACATTATCACAGAGTTAATGAGGAAGAGCTGCTTTAGAGCATGGCTGCTTGTGTTAAGGCATCACGTTATTTCTATATCTCACAAACATTAAGATTCAAGCCGACCAAGTCAAAGTAACACTGTCTCTGGTAGTCAACATGACACCTCTGCAAAGGAAGTTCTACAGCAGAGCAGTGCTATTACAAACAAACACATCAAGCTCATTCCCGACAAACTAGCCAGAAGAGATCTAGCAGTGAGGAATTGTGTGGCTAATTGGTCTTAACATGACGTGAAAGTCCATTTACTTACTGGGCGTCCATGGTGGTCGGTGCACTCAAACAGCCCTTGAAATTAGGCCCGCTAATGTTGTTATCTCCACTCACTCTGTGCTTTGCTTTCATTAAGTTGATTTACTTTGCAATTATTCCAATTAAGCCTGAGTGCTTCTTCTGTAAACAAAACGCGTTTTTCTTCGCCGAAGAAGGAGTGATGATTTGCATGCAGCATGCTAGAAAGTTAACTCAGTCAAACCCAGAAAGCAGATTTGAAATGTTGGCAGCTGAGCTGATTGGCTTTGGAAGGAGGTGGAGCATAAAGTGTCCAATCAGTCACGAGACAAAGGTAACAATTAAAAGTCTGTGATGAATATTCAAAACAAACAATATAAAAAGATTTAAAAACATGAAGAGAAATATAAAACAGGAAAAAGATATTAAATATAAAAAGTACCAAATTTTTGTTTGAAATCATACTAATCGTGAATCAGTGTATTAAAATAGCTGAAAAGAGTAAAAAAAAAAAAAAAAACATAAAAATATTAAATAGCTAGATTAAGATGTA